ACACAATTTGAACTCCAAATCTGATATCTTGCAATTATCGACTCGGCGGGTGTGTGTCGTCCGTTTTTTTCACCGGATCAGGAACAAAGTGAGTCAACCGGCGAGTCAACCGGCAAGTCGGCCGATGGGTTGACAACCTTGCATTGTACACAGAGATGATAATGGGGTGATTGCACAAAAATTTAACATACTGGCTATGAGAGGAGTTTTATTCTCATGTACAATGATAAAACCTTAAGTTATATGTTTTTAGGAACTAACAATGAAATCGACCTTGTTATGAGGATTTTTTCTGAAGAACCATCCTTAATGTCCTTTATCGTTCGATCAAATTGTGAAATGAGACTTGATTGGTCCTGTAACGTCCTACCCTATACGTTTTACCTAATCATATTGTTCATACATTTGCAGCAGAAATAATCTCGGGTGTTACATTAATTGCCAAAATTAACCCAAATAAAATTTTGACATGAATTACTCGCGTAATGGGCTAACAGTTTTTCCAATCATACCTGCAACATAACTTCTCTTATTCTCTACATCCCTTTCATAGTCGTAGACACAGTTTCATACACATATATACCAACAACCATATACATCACCTTTCATAGTCGTAGACACAGTTTCATACTCCACAACTGCATACCTTACTAATACATGCCATAGTGGCCACAACTTACACAACCACACAAATATACACATATCAACTTTCCACACCTGTGGATATGTAATACTACATCAAAAGCTAGTATGTACATGAAAAAACATTCTCAAAACATTTTTACAAAAGAGGTGTGGATCACTGGCCAAAATCCCAAGTAGTCGTCCAAGCACAGAATAGTTGAAGACAATACCTCATTCTGCCTTCAACTCCTCGTTCTACTCAACCCTATGTACTTGCTACTGCCACTGCTGATGATCTGCTTACACATAGCATAAGCAGAGAAAAGGAATAAAAGAGGGTCAGCTCATAGCTGAGTGAGATAATCATAGCATCATGAGTTCAAATCAGAGCATACTCCTACCATACATCTAGCAAACAAGCCAAAGCATTAGGATCAGACCTTAGCCATCTGACATCCCAATAGGCAAAAGACTCAACCACCTTGACTTATGCATTGCATCTTATCATGTTTTAATCATAGGAGCCTGGCTACTCCCATTCTAATTACACTCCCGGGAATACGGACCAAACATCTCGTGATGTGGTAATATCGGACCCACCACTGCCGGTGTAGTCATATCGAACCTGACACCACTCTGGGTGTGGTCATATCGGACTCAACACCACTCTGGGTGTGGTTATATCTCATGATGAACCAATTGTCAACACCACATCAGGGGTGTGACATAACATATCATAACAGAGTAATAGCATGGGGAGCCCTAATTACTATGTAATTGACCATGAGACCAAATCACTCTTATTTGGTATCCTTATACATGATTCATATCTCATCTTGCTTAATCATAATTTCTTACTTGCACATGTACTTGAACTGACCATAATTGGCTCAACATAGGTAAAACAGGAGTCGTATAATTGCACTTCCTCGGGATAAACTCTCATGCAAGTCATCCTCGTAAAACATCAAAATATCACCATGGGATATATATTTTCCCACTTATACATCCAAATACATCAATCATGAAAAATCATACCCAATCACCTTCTTTTAACCATCATAAGGCATATCAAAAGTCAAGCCCACAATTTGCAATAAATACGAAATCATCAGCATAAACAAGGTCCATATCGATTAGGGCAAGTCAATAATATCATACAGCAGTCCAGGGTTCATCATATAGCACAAAAGTTCATACACCCCTAATCATGCCATTCTAGTTCACCTAGGTCATTTCTAAGCATCAATATATAATTATCGAGATACGACAAACCCGGTATGCCGTGCTAATCCCTCACCAGTTCTGGTCGTTCAAACACCGGTTTTTTCCTCCCGTACTAAAACTTCACTTTTCTAAAACAAACCCGGAATCAAAATCCGAGATTGTCCTAATATCCCCTGCAGTGTCCCCGTCATTGTTAGTTCTAGGGTCCGGGTAAAAATCCCGACAAAAACACATCAAACTCTAGCCGGAGCTAAATTCAGCGATTCCGGCTCCGACCTAAATAATAGTCTAAATTCATGGATTAGAACTAGAGGATTATTTACCTCGCTGCAGGAAGCTCGTATCTAAAATCTGGGCTTAATCCGACTTCAGGATACTCCAAAACTCTAATTTGACTTATCGGGAATTCAAAAGATTCCTGGACCAAAAACTCGTTTTAAATCTCTAAATCGATAAACTACGATGAATGGATGGATTAGGCATTTCTTACGGGATTTTTGGAATCATTGTAGTTCAAGAATTGAGCTTTGGAAAATTCTGCCCCGCGTCCCCTGTGCGCTCTCTAGTGGAGCTTTCCTCTCGGTCCAGGAAATGAAAAAGTGAGAACGATGATGAAATGGGAAGGGAAAGTGACCGAGGCAAATTAAATGCACCGGAATATATATATAATTAATAAGTATACTTATCCGATCGATGATAATTCGATTTTCGTCGAAATACTATCAAAACCCTCGATTCTAATCGCGTAATTTTTCTAGCGATAGTAATACGATTTTAGCCGAAAGGGAATGTTACAGGTCCGCGAGCTTTCTCACCACATAAATGAAGGATAATTTTGAGATGTTCCCCTTACCTTCATGTCCATGGTTGTCATGTCGATGACATACTGACTTGCCGACCGGTACCTGTTATAAAATGGGTTGGAATGCCCCTAGGTATGATTGGCATGATCATTTATGAGTTTTAAACATAACGACATCAGTTTGGTGAATTTAATTAACAAAATTAAGTTTTTAACTTTTTCTCGTATTTGAAAGTTAAATGTTGATGTTATTTGTTGGATTCAAGTATCAATATTAATTTAGATGTTTATTTTATTTGTTGAACTCAAGTATAAACTTTGGCACGTTTGCGTTATATGTTATATTTAAATATGGAGAGTTTTCATTTTGTTTGGTATGTTGTATTAATTTAGATTTTAGAGAGATTGACAATTATGAAGCGAGTGCATTGAATGCACCAAAAAAAGTTGGTGCACCGAATACGTCACCATACATATATACATATATATATATAGTTAAATTCATTTAGTGTTGATGATTTTTCATATTTCTACATATTTTGCTAATTCTGGCATCAACTTACATAAAGCGATTTTACCACCGGTCGGATCATAGCACTTTCCAAATTGACATAACTATATAAACCGGTTTGCCAACGTTCCTCTTGTTATATAAAGGCCCTGTTAGAAACTGACCAATTAAAACTAGGGTTACCGAGTATGGCTGAGTCGCATACTAGGTCGCTCTCTTTAAGACGTTTGTGACACTGTCTTGCACTGTGCACGACAAACTATCAACATTTCACCTCCAGAAGAAAACAACCAATCTTTATTACTCTCGGCTTGTGCAAACCGAAGCTCTCTGAATTCACTCTCTATATGTTTATGCTCATGTAATTGTCTATTTAGAGGGTTTGGGAATCGACTGTCTTATAGACGAAACTCTTCAAATACCCTCTTCATGGGGAATAAGTCACGTTCTTTACTTTCGTAACTGAAACGAGTTCTGGTATTAAGTATCCTTTGGGCGGATGGACGATGCACGTTTGTGCGTGGTATGGAGATTCTTATATCCTCTCCTCCACAAAAGTGTATCACCCCAAAATGTATACCCTTAAGAGAGAGAAACTTATTCTTATATACATTTTGCAAAAACTCTACTCAACAATATGGTATTTGGGACTTCATTTTATATATAGTTTTCAAAACTATTCATTAGCAACAGGCCATCAGTATCAACAGTGAATGGAAAATGTTAGGGATTTGTGTGTTGTTAAACTTGCAATGGTCGGAGGACGTGTTATTACATTAGAAAGTTGGACGACTTTTTAGTTAGTTGTGGCATAATATAAGGAGCAATGGGGAATACTACCGATGGGCAAGCAAGCATTTACATGGAAAAAAGGAACATGAAAAGTGGACAGCAAAAGAAGATTCTTGTACTATATATCATTCTTGGCTTGTGCGGTTGTGCCTGCCACTTCATATTCATCCTTTCCTATGTTCGTCCAATCACTCTATCTCTAGAAAAACAGAATCTTGGCATATACCATTACCAAATAGAATATAATATCAAAATCAAACCGTCCAAACTAATACAACAACTAAATTAACCAAATTAAAGTTTAATCAGTTTGGTCAATTGATTAACCAAAATAACCAATATAACAACACAATATCATTAAGTGAGAAAATCTTTGATTAATGTATCAATTTGCAATTTATATAATGAATAGAACATAACAATCAACACATAATTATAGTCCTTGATATAAATATAAATAAAAGTAACTAATACAATTATCTAAAGGAGTATTGATGTAACTATATATATATAGCCATATATATCAATGGTATTGGGGTTAATGAATTCTTGTGTTTTGTAAATTGACGAATTCTCTTTGCAATTGCCATAGGCTGAAATAGATCTTCCTTTAAAGTTTTCATCCAACATATTGTATGAGTTTTTATAAAAAAAAAATAGGGTTAATTGCATGGTTGGTCACTGAGATTACAAAAAACGTTCATGTTTAGTCACTGTAAATATTTAAATCCAATCTTGGTCACTCAAATTAGTTAAATGGTTTAAGTTTGGTCACTCTCCGTCCAACTCCGTTAAATTTGTCTGATGTGGCAGTCAATCCTCAAAGTTGACCGTTAAATCAATGACGTGGCAATTAAAAAATAATAAATAAAATCAATTTTAATTTTCTACTATTTCCAACTCATTTTCACAATAAAGTGAAATAAAAAAATAAGTCATAATTACAAATTGAAAGGGAGCCGACTGTCTGCAGGTGATTATGGCCGGGGAGCGGCGGCGACGGCGAAGGCGGCGACTGGCAGAGCTAGGGATGGGAATTGGGAGCTAGCTTTGTTGCTGGGACCACTTCATAATATACTCGTGAAACCAATCCGAGCAATCGAACCCTAGGTCGTGGATCTGCTCTCTGTTGCCGCTCCCTGCGGTGTAGTAGTTGGTCTGGACGACGGTCTTGTCCTTTCCGACGAACTCGAAGTCGATCTCGTCCTGGGATTTGTTTCCTTCCAGGGAAGAGATCTGCATTATGGTGGACATAAAAAGAAGGATCAGCCCAGATGGATTGAACATGACGGAAATCATTCTTTGAAAACAAAGCAAGGAATAAATTAAAGCTAGGTGACAAACAGTAGAGGAAGCGGTTGGTGCTCCGCCAACGCGCGTCGCCGCGGTGGTAAGTCAGGGTGATGGAATTGGTTTTCGGGCAGTGGGTGCACGCCTCCGGCGTGTAGTCGACGACGATCTGGTTTATGGGCTGGGTCCCGTGGTGGAGCGTCGGGTCCGCCATTTCTATGAAATCGGCGCTTTCTTCTTTCCTTCTTCTCTGAATTTTTCACGGAGGTTCGAGGATTTGGTGTTCGACTCGCTGAGTGAACTCGGCCAGGAAAGGTAACTCGGTCGGTGCAGACAGTCGGCTCCTTCTCAATTTGTAATTATAATATTTTTTTATTTGAAAATGAGTTGGAAATAGTAGAAACTTAAAATTTGTTTTATTTATTATTTTTTAATTGCCACGTCACTGATTTAACGGTCAACTTTGAGGATTGACTGCCACATCAGACAAATTTAACGGAGTTGGACGGAGAGTGACCAAACTTAAACCATTTAACTAATTTGAGTGACCAAGATTGGATTTAAATATTTACAGTGACTAAACATGAACGTTTTTTGTAATCTCAGTGACCAACCATGCAATTAACCCAAAAAAAATAAGAGTCTATATGTTGTGGTCTACACTCTACAAATACAAATACACAGTATAAGAACAATATTGAATTTTAATAATTATGAGATTAAGAGGGAGGAACGTTTGACACTTGAGTGGTTATGCAAAGTATTAAATATGTGTATATAATATTTATGAGATATATGACTAATTACTTAACCGGTTAATTTTTGTTTGGTTGGTTAGGACTTAGGAGTGTTTGAAACCAAACCAAACCACCTAAACCAAACAAGTTAAAAATTTAACCAAACCAAACCGTTATCCAAATTAACCAAACAAAATTATACAAATACTACATATTAAAATGATTACCACAATAACCATATCGTTTGAACACCCCTAGTGATATGAATCGAGGTTAGCATGTCGTAACGTAACCCTTGTTTCAGTTGTTCTGAACGCGTGCGTATTATCAATGTGATAGAAACGAATATGAACAGAAGACAAAAAGGACACAGGTATTTAGGTAGTTTTCCTGTTCCTATCACTGCCCGCACAAATGTAACTTCACTAAATATAATTAGAGTTTAGACTGTACACGCCGATATATTATATCCATTATGAATTTTACCTACAAATTCAATGGCTTGAACTTTCATGCAAGTTAATCATGTGATGCCTGAACACCCATTAGACAGTGAATTGCTCGTGCGTTTGGAGAAAAGGGATTTATGGTCCACAAAACATAATCAGTGTACAACTCCCACGCTTTCACATTAATTAATCATATATCTAACTCTTAATCAAATCTGGATTTGTTTGAAGAGTACTTAGTAGGGGACAAAGCGTGGTTCCCAGTAGGGCTGTCAATTTGGTTTGGTTTGGTTAACCAAACCATTAAGTATGAAAAACCAAAAATCAAAACCAAAACCATTAAGGTCCTTATTGATTTTTGGCAACCAAAAACCAATAAGGACCTTAATGGTTTTGGTTTTGGTTTGGATAACCAAAAAACCAATATGTACTCATACACTCATATTTATTCCTATTTCCCTTCTTTTTATTAAATAAACGTCATAATAATGGTAAATGGTCATTACAAATTATTGGTTGGCATGCGTGTCAAAAGAAACAAAAAAAAAATAATATTTGTTGATAAATAATTTTATTCTTATTGGTTTCTTAATGGTTTCTAATGGTTTTTTGGTTTTAACCAAACCAAAACCATTAAGTTGCTTATTGGTTTAAAACCAAAAAACTGAAATCATTAGCTTTCCAATTGGTTTGGTTTTGGTTAAAACAAAAAAACCAAAACCAAATGGACAGCCCTAGTTCCCAGCCGTGACCAAACTATAATTATGATAATAATAAGATTAAGAAGGCAGATGAATAAGAACGGGCATCAACAGCAGTAGTAAAGAAGACCCATTTACGAGGACATAACTTTGGGGCATCCCTTGCAGACGGCAGATAGCCGGCTCAAGAGAGTGGAGTAATCTTAGAGTATTTAAATAAGTAAATAAATATGGACTTTTTTTAAGTGAGATACAAATCTAAGAATTGAGAATTAAAAATATTTTATTTTCCCTGCTTCTCTTAACCGGATCATATCTACTTTGTTCTAACTCATAGTCCAATTTTTTGACTGATGGAACGAGTTCGTTATACTCCACAAAATAAGACAAATTTTCAATATTTTTTGAGAAAAAAATTTCATACCACTCATTACCAACTACATACCATATAGTATCTTCATCGTTAAGTCATTTTTGAAAGTATTCGCACATAAAGAACGAGTTCATCATGATCTATTAGATCTACTGTTTTCTGGGTGAAAAAAATACATTATTATTTTACTCTGGTTTGGGGATGGTATCTTATGGTACACAATGTTGAAAGTTGTAAATGACAGTTAGTATATTTCTATTAACATGCATTCAACCATCCTACAGTCTGATATGCTCATATCATCACGGTACGCTTTCATGTCATATGGTATGCTTTTATTTAATACCAATCAATACCATATGGTATAGACTAGTAAAAAATGTCTCAATTTATTTTTTCAAAAATATATCAAAGTGAATATCATTTTGAAAAGCATAATTAATCTGATTAATCTATGCAAAAAAAATTAAATTTTGACTTAAAATGTGAGAGAAATCGCCGGTTAAACATTAAAGGAGAAAAATTAAAGGCTTTCCGTGAGAGTGAAAGGGTGCTGATGTGGCAGATTCTGTTGAATTACTTATAGTTACTCACCACAGTTTACTTGATGTGATCCTCTCCCGCAGACAGTCTTCTAAATCTACCCCCGACGCCCCTAAAGAGAAAAGTTAATTAAGATAAAACTATGTATAAACATGAAACATATATATAACTTTTGTAAAAGTCGGCTAAGAAAATTGACTAATACTGATTTACGGCAATAATCACCCCCTATTTACAAGTATTCAGGTCATAAGCATGATTGTTAAACACCAAAGGTAAGATAGTCTTAACCATAAAGTTGCCGCGATAGTGAAGGATTGAAAGTTGCAGATCCCAGGTTCGAATGCAAGCGAGGCTCGTTGGTGTTCCCGAAGGTACAAGGTTGCTCGGGCCGAAGCTGATTCGGGTCTAATTGCACAGGTTTTGCCCCCAGTTTACCTAGATGTTTGTGCCAAATTCCCTCCTTAAAGGTCGGTTTTACGCTAGGTTCTTCGTGTTTGAGTGTGTTTCATGATTTAACAAGTGAAACTAGCCTCGGAACCGATAGATTGGCTAAAAGGATCGAAAACCGGGAGAGGAGGTGAAAAAGAGCCAGTTCACGGCTAAAGGAAAGAGTTCACGATCATGCAAGACCGGGAAGAAGGGGAGTTGACCGTGAATCGCAAGGAGTCCAGAGCCAATTTGAAGGTTACTGACGCAAGGTGAGTTCACGGTCACTAAGACCATGAACACAAGCAGTTTCCCGTGAGCGATGCGGAGCATTTTGGCGCACGCCCTGAGTTCACGAACGCGTTTGATGGTTCACGGCTGTGAACTCAGCTCTTCTCGGGTTTAAAAGCTGAGCTGCATGGAGGAGAGAGGGGAGAGCCCACTTTTGTGAGAAAACACATTTTTCAACATTCTAGTGAGAGAAACAGAACCAAAGGGAAGAAGAAGGTTAGGGTTTGGCTTCAAGGCAGATTTTGGGAAGATTTCCCCAAGGAGATCTCAGCTCAAGGGTCAAGAAGAGAGGAGGCATCCCCAAAATATGGTTTCCACCTTTTTCCATTTTGTTCTTCCCACTTCTACCATGGAGTAGACCTCCTTTCACTTGGGTGTAGTGAAACCCTAACTCTACCATGTAGTTTTCTTGTATGTGGTTTGGATGATTGATATTGGGTATTGTTCAATTCAATGTTTGAGGCATTATTCACCATGATTGTGCATGCTTGTGCTTAGCAACTTAGGGGTTGTGCTTGTTTTGTGCTTAGCATCCTAGTGATTGTGCATAATTTTGCTTAGCATCCCCCTAAGTTTGTGCATTTATGTGCTAGTAATCTAATTTGCCATCTTAGCCTAGTTTAGAAAGGAAAATCCCCCTTTCAAGGGAGACTCAATCGAGTTAGTTTTCCTTCTGCTTTCTAAGCCACCTAAACTAGGTTGAGTTAGGGCAACCCTCAATATTGAATTAAACAAGTCGATTAATTGTGGTTAAACCGTCCAGCCTTAGAGTTGAGTGATGGAGTAAGTCGATTATCGATTGTCTAAACCTAGAGGGTCGAGTGACACGGCCTTTCATCCTCACCTCGGTTTAGAAATTGAGATTGTGGTCTCCGACACGCTTTCCTCTGTGGTTCATGATTAACATGCCCAAAGCAATCGTTCCAATCCACGTAGCATGGTAGCGGTTAGGGGGAAGCAAAACCCGAGTGACTTTCCCACAAAAGAGTTTTCAAACCCAATCACCTTTGTTTTCTTTCATTTCAATTAGAAAACCTTTTAAACCAAAGTTTAGTTGCTAGATAATGATTTCAACAATGGAAGTAGGGATAGACGGACCGGCCCGGGTCGAAAATCTAAATACTTGTCCTATACTGCACCCAATTAGAGTTTAAAAACTTGGGCTCTAATTGGGGTTTAATTGTGGTGTAGTTTCGTGCGAGTCAGAAGCCCCGTTAACATCGAATTGATTGCAGGTAGACCCCAGGTTTAGTAGGCCCCGCTTTCACAAAGTGGCACGTGGAGCTGAGGTCCTGGGTAATGAAAAAAACATGGTTGTTAAATCGGGGTGAAATTGTTGTTTGAACCGAATTTCATTGTGATTGGTCATTTTTTGAAATTTTACGCATTTAATCTTGCTATAAATTGCATTTGAATATAATGTCGAGTTGTAACAAATTGATCCAGTGATTGAATAAGTCAAATTAGGTCTCTCGGCTTTTGTTTGCAATTACTTTTTCTCTCTGGTCTTACACCGCAAATATGAGTCCATCGACCAACACAGGAAAAGAGTTGACACTATCCAAAAAGACCAAGTTCCACCCATTAAAACCCGCTTATTAACAGTAATTGAAATCTATTCAATACCATGTGGTTATGAAACCTGAACCATCGATCATGAGTAATTAGAGAAAGGCAAAATTAATCTGATG